ATAAAACACAAACAGTATTTTTTTTAAATCACTTCTGGCATAGAAGTATTTAAAAAAATTGACTATACTTACTCCCCCTCTTAGTTTGTAAAATATCAGCAGCGTCAAGTTCTGTAAATATCTATTCAAATGTCAGCATATGTATATCTGATTAATTGAACATGATATGGTTAGCTCTGGGATAAGCAATCCAAAAGTTAAAAATCAACGACCACTTTAAATTGCTTTTTTTGAGAAGCAAAGAACTTAGTAGGTGTTTTTTGCACCATCATGGTATTGTAATGCTAAAAAAATGAATTTCTGCTATCTTTATATTTGTAATTTTTGCCATCTTCTCTGTTAATRTAATAGTCTTTGCAGCAGATGAAAATCAAGTATTTGTCTTAGTGATGGGTGGGCCCCTCATGGCATCATGAAACAGTGGTTAGATCACAATGCAGTGTGAACTACCTAACTTTGTAATAGTTGGTTATTGCAGTTCTGTGGCAGAACATCTATTATGTACACACAGCTTATCTTCCAGAGCTCTAAAAAGTGGTGTTAAAGAAGGCACAGATGTGCTCCTCTTCTAGTGTCATTGAGGTTCAATCCACTGTAAAATGTTTGAATCTAACTGCTTGAATAATCAATGTTCATAAGCATCAGATGATTTGGCAAGGTTTACACAGATATACTGTGCAAATTTGTTGTGTATTCCTGGGTGCTATCTTCTGTGTAGAAAAATTAAGCCTCTATTGTGAAAGGCTTAACAAATGTGAATTCTCAGGCCAGATGAAAAATTACTATTTCAGGTGATGGATTTGAAGACCTCTAAACCTGACACTATGAGTGAGTGCCTACAAGTCATGTGAATGGTAAAGCAAGAAYGCTACACAAGTCTGATGTAGTTACATTTTCCTTTTAAATTGCTTTGCTTTTTCACCACTGACATGTTCTGCTATTGCCATTCAAACTGCTGTATCTTAAGTTTAAGGCTCACCTGCTTTCAGAACTTTTCATATGAAATTGTCAGGTTGTGACGAAGGTGACACACACACACAAGCAATCTTTACACTTCTTTTGAAAATTCYAAATAGTCTTCAGAAATTCTGGAGACTTCCTAGTTGAAGAACTTTTTGAACTAGAAAAACTTAAGAGAAATGTTCTCATAGTTTGACACAAAGGCTCATCATTAGTTCAATTAAGCAAGTGGCTGCATACTTGTATGGATTGAATTTTAAATTTAAAATTTTAAACCGCATATATTGTAGCAGCATTGTATGGGATGGCTTTAGTCATGTTTTTCTCTGTCTAAATGTTAATGTAAGGTCCAAATACAGACTGAAAAGCTTCCTGGCTCATGTTGATGTGATGTGCTTTGTTTAAGAGAAAAAAGACAAACATTGTGGTTTTGGAGTGCTTTTGTGCTCCCTTGTTTTGGGGTGTTGCTCACAAAGGCTTATTTTTTTATAAAGTAGAATTCCACTTGTTACAAACCAATATGCAAAATTGCTGGCCTTGTAAAGAGTGCAATATTATATATTTTTATGTAAAAGTAAAAATGACTTTTTGAAGCAAGGAATATTTATTCAGCTTAATATTCTGGAACTATAAAAATAACATTGCAATAGTGTCTGTGCATGATGTACTTAAATTCCCTGTAAATGTCACATTCCACACTGTATTTGTATATATGCTGTCACATTGTTGGGTAATAAACAGATCTTTGTACCAAACCATTTTGACATTGTTAGAAACATGGTTTTGGCTTAGTTGTATCTTTCTTCTTTTAGGGAATCTCTCACATCTTGTGCCAGATCAATTTCTGGTAATTCCCATATCTTTGGTATTTTAAAAATCATGAGGTGGGAAAGTTCTGTTTGTGGGCTACATCCTGTGTCTGTCACACTGAAGGTGGGGAGTTTAAAATGGGAAGTGGGAAATTCTAAGCATATAATTTTGCACGTGTGTGTCCTTTCTTTCCATAGGATGCATGACTAGAATTTGAATGAAATTATGGCTCTAAAAGCAGAGACATTCCCCTTCCTTCCATCTGCCTTCTCACTGGAAACCTGTCTGAGCTGCAAAGGCAGAAAAGCAATTCTCTCTGGATTCTCAGGAAGAAGGGTGAAAATTTGAAGACTGGGATGTTGGGGAGGCATCTGACAGGAGGCAAAGCTCTTTCTGTTGGAAGCCAGCATTTGGGAAAGGATCGTGTGGCAGGGCCTGTCGCCATGATTGCAGGATCCTGTGGTAAACCCAGACCTTTATGTTCTGACAGGGGAAAGACATGGTGAGAAAGGGAAGGGAAGGCAATAGCTGGATATTCATTCATGGTGGGGAGAGGGAGTCTCCAACCTGTTACTGAAAGGGAACCCTGATCTTGCACTTAGAGATCCACTGTTTACACAAATGCATGACAAATAACAAGAGATACAAAAAATGTGTGAGCTGAATTAAGCATTAACAATAATAAAAGATATCTTAATGGAGCAGTGGGGGAAATATCATCAGGCTTGCTACTGCCARACTTCTGGTTTAACTTTTAATTTCTTTATGCCTTGTTTTGCTTAAAGCTGTATTGAGGGTTTTTTTTTTCTTTCTTGCATTTGAAAATGGAAGTGACATTTCCATATGCTGCTACTCTATCACAAAAACAAACCAACTAATAGTGTTTAAAAGCTCTGCTTCCCTTGAAAAATGTTCACTGGAATGTTTAAGCCTTTTATATGTGCRGGCAGTTTTGTTCCTTTGCTACTATGGTAAGTTACAAACCACTGCCAAGCGACCTCTGTGTAGAGATTTATTTGCCATTACTGCTATCATGTTGGGTCAGAAAGGCACTGATTTTGTAGCTGGGTTTCTGTAATAGGCTCTGTTGTGTATTTCACAATTTTGAAAAAGGATTAAAAATTAAATATGGCTGCTCTAATTAGACTCCTAAACTATTGTGGACTACACAATATAAAGTAGTGAATAAAAACAGGAGCTTGCTTACTGCTTTGAGCTAGCATTTCCAGAAAAAAAAAAAAAAGCAAATCCTGATTCTCAAATGCAATTGACTGAARTCTGTATAAGACTCATTAGGGGACCCTTCGTGTAAATTCAAGGAATAGAAATTTGTGTTAGATGGATGGTTATTGCCTTCTGAACCTGTAGGAGACTCCTGATTGTGGTGGAAGGTAAGAATTTGCAGATTAAAAAGAAAGCAATTTCAAGTAATATATGATGAAAATACTTTTCAAAACAGCCATTTCCTTATATTTTAGTTTAAGTCATAAAATTGTTAGAATCCAGTAGTAAAAACATTGAGTGACAATRGTCTGATTAGTACAGGTGCTGTTTGACTGACAGCATGTCAATCCTTTGACTGTGAAAAGGGGCCTTTTGTAGATTGATGATGGAGTTAACAGGAATGGAAGAGCAGCAGCATGTGCCAGACAGGTTTCCAATGGGTTTTTGGAATTCTAGTTATGCAAAGTTTATGAACTTGCCTTGTTTCTGTTTAGTAATGTTTACCTTGTCCCTTCTGTCTMCTTCTGCCAAGCCAGTACCCCAAAAGCCTTTACTCAGTCTCAGAAAAGGCTGTCCATGCTCCAAAGCCCCTTTAAAAATAGGACTCTTCCCTGTTGTTTTTMATGTAGAAAATATTGCTTTGAAGTTCTGCTCCATTATGACAGAATGAGAAAAAGTGCTGAGGGCAGGATAGGAGAAAACACCCCTCCAGAGGGAACAGCCACCTTACTGGGGAACAAATAAACGAGATTTTGCTGATGGTGCTCCTGCCAATGTGTTACTGTGGCTGACGAAGTTTTCAATTAAAAATGTTAATTGGCACTATTAAATGCTGCTGGGCCCATACTGCTTTTATGAGGAGCAATGTATAAAAGTTGATTGATGAAGCTGAATTTTATTGTTGTGACATACTCGCCCTGACCCAGTGAGTCTCAGCATCCCCTTTCCCACCGAGTCCCATTCCCCACTGCAGGCTTTTTACTTCATCCTTCCTCTGTTTGGTGTGAGTTTAGGACAGGCAGTGTGGGCTCTCACCCCAAATCCTGATGCCACTTGGGCTTTGCTGCTTGAGGTACAGGGCTATCGGCKGGGGGCAGAGTGGCTGGAAAAGGACCTAGAGCTGKTGRTCRACACCCAAGTGGCCAAGMATGCCARTGGCACCYGGGCCTGGATCAGAAACAGTGTRACCAGCAGGACCAGGGCAGTGACCAGCTGTGCTCGGTTCTGGGCCCCTCAGTTCAGGGAGGACACTCAAGTGCTGGAGTGTGTSCAGAGAAGGGAAATKGACTTGGTGAAGGRTCTGGAGCTCAGGTCCTGTGAGGAGCGACTGCAGGAGCTGRGGTTGTTTAGMCTGGAGAAAGRGAAACTCRGGAGACCTGACCCCTTTCCACCACCGCAGAAAGGAGGCTGCAGCCGGGTGGGGTCGGTCTCTTCTCCCAGGTAACAAGTGACAGGAGSAGAGGAAACGGCCTCGAGCCGTGCCAGGGGAGTTCAGTTTCGACAGCAGGAGCAATTTCTTCTCGTAARGGGTGATTWAACTTTGGAATGGACTACCCAGGGAGRTGCTSGAGTTACTGTCCCCGGGWGTGTTTAAGGAAAGACKGGCCATGGCACTCTGTGCCATCGTCTAGCTGACGTGGTGGTGCGGGATCAAAGGTTGGACTCGAGGATCTCGGAGRTATTTTCCARCCTCACTGATTTCGTGTTTCTGTGATCAGTGATTCTGTTTGAGAGATACCTGGATGAGGGCTTGCTCCCTAGCGCCAGCTGGAGCCGGGGCGGGAGGCGGCCGCAGCAGGAGCAAGGAGGGCCGGCGGCAGGCGGAGCGTGAGGGCGGTGGCAGCGGAGGCCGCGTCCCGCCCGCCGCGCCATGTGCCRCCGCCGGGCTGCCCGCCGCCGCCGCGCCCGCCCACAGCCCCGCACGGTGAGGGAGGCACGGAGGGAGGAGTGCCGGGGCTTCGGGCGGGAGAAGGGGCCGGGAGGGGCGGGATAAGGACGGCTGCAGGCGCCGGGGGAGCGCCCAGCGGAGGGCAGGGCCGGTCGGGGCTTCCTCCCTCGCCGCGGTCGGCGCTGGCGTCCTGGGAAACCCGCCCGGCATCCCGGTGCTCCCGTGGGCTGCTGCGGGAAACAGCGGCCGGCGGCGGCCGAGCGAGCCGGAGTTTCCCAGTTATCCGCAGGAGTCGGCGKCGGGCTTTGGGCTCTGTTGTTGCTGGCACCGGCGGGGAGCATCYTTCGGAGAAGCTGCTCCGAGCCCAGGTATCCCGCGGGCGGCGGGGAGGGGGTCTCTGCCCTGCGTGCTCGTTCCTCCTCCGTCCGCTGCCTGGGGCGAAGGCTGAAGGAAGTGGCCGCTTTCCTGCTGGCTGGCTCGCCCTGACGAGGGAATAACCCCCGCTGGCCGGCTGCTGCTGGCGGTGATCAGTGAAGTGCGGTGTTGGGAGCTGCTGCACAGCAGAGTCATTAGGGCAGCGCAGCGAGACAGAAAACTCGCAATAACAACTTAAAAAACGCTTCTGCCCTGCAGGTGATGCAGTGCCGAGCTTCCCGGAGGCGCTCTCCCTGCCTTGTAGGTTATAATTCAGTTCAAAGACGTTTTAAGTGGGATTGAAGTAGAATAATCAAAATTCCCTCTATTTCTTTAAAAGCTCWCAGCTATCTTTCAGAATTAGCTAAAGAGGTAAAGCAGTAGACAGAAATCACCTTTCTGCCTCAAGCTTTCAGAATCACTGATAGTTTGCTGGGCTGTACGTTCACAAAACCTGTGTGCTGATGATAAATTATATTGCACAAAAATATTATCCTTCTGAAATGTTACATTAGTTCAGCCATTGTTTCCTTTGATTTTTAAATGTTAAGGAACAAGATGATATTTTTGAACGAAAATTTGGGTATGGTGGCAAGAATTTTTGGAACTTGATAATTGCACTGGATGTAGTACATCTAGTTAGATGAGAACTGAGCTGTTGGAGTTTGTCTGATTTGCAGTTACATCATTAGAAATTATTTTCAAAGTYGCTACATTTATGGTATAAAAATTACATTCTTTCCTTATCATGAGCAATAGTCTTGCCYTTAGTAATTTCTRCTTTGTRCTGCTAAGCTTCTCCTTAGGAGACSGAGTGAAAAGCTGTAGTAATTTTCAGTAGTATTTCTCTGTGCAGCCCTGAGACAGAGAAAGCAAAAGGATTCCTTACYCTCCCTCTCTGTTTACAGAACTACATCAGCTGCTGTAAATCTTAGAGTAAGAACTGAGATAGCAAGGGAAGTTGGGTTTCTTTCGTTTTCTTTTTTTTTTATCCTTTAATTTCTTTGGTATATCAGTTTGGCACTGAACAGCTGTGMGGCTGTAAATTTTGCTGTTTATGTTCCTGCAAGTGGATAATGAAATGTGAAGATCTTTCCTGGATTTAGGATGTGATTTGCAGGTCATTATCCAGGGGTGATTCCCACTAATGTCACTGGGRCTTAGTTGAATGATTGGGTTAACTTTTCTGTCGGGCTGCTTGGTCCAAGAAGTACAGAGCTTGTGTGGAAGGTGTTCTTCAGCGTTGTCAGCCCCYGGTTTTCTAATCTAGTAATTTCAGGTCCATCACTTTAGATTAAGGCAACAATTTGGTTTAGATTGAATTTTTGATTGAATTCTAGAGGTCASTTTTCTGGTATGGCATTTTAAGGTTGTACTTGGAGCTAGAGGGGGGGAAATTGCAGCTTTTCCTCCAGGTTGCTTGTAAAAGTCTGTMCTGAAGAGCTTGAAAATTCCATTTGGTTCTCTGTTAGTCAAATATTTAGACTTTTTCTGCATTTCATTAACAAGCATTTATAATGTTTAGTAAGTGAAGGTTGCACTCCTTACCCCAATGTAGGGTCAAGCTATACCTGCAAATATTTATGCAGCTATCTGGATTATCATAAGTTTGCCTTTGAAGTGCTGTTGGGTGCAATCATCCATTGTAAAAGCAGGGAAAGAAAAGTTGCTCTTCACGAGCGTTTGTAGGAGCCCAGGAAATGAAACTTCAGCCCACACGAGTTACCTGCACCCAGAGAAAGAAAGAAAGGCAAAAAAAGCACATAACCCTAGAAAATGCAGCTGGCTGGGAGGCTGTCGATACAAAGCTTTCAGAAGGAAAGGGCTGTCTGTGTGGGGTGCCAGTCAGCAGAAACTGTCGGGCTAAAAAAGGCTGCGTAGCTGCTGTCACTGCTCTTTGTTAGTGCRGTCCGTGTTCCCCTAAAAGAAAAGAACAGATAGAGACCATGTTAATGGTGTGCTGCACACAAATGCAGTGGATAAATGAGCTCCTGTATAACCCAGCTTTCTGGCTGCAGCAGTGACATGTAGGACTGCGTGGAGGCTCCTCATTAGCGCAGCTCCTGTAACTACGGTGACTGTCAGGGCCTGTGTATGCCTGTGTCCATCCAGCGTAAAAACAGCCAGGAATTAACATTAGCAAGCACAGCTGAGAATTTCTGGTTCCAGGGGTTTTGGGTAATTTAAATGATGGGGAGAAGTTACTCCTTTTAAGTATCAAATGCTGCGGGGTCAGCATGTCAAGAGAGGTGATTCTCTGCTTCTACTTAGCTCTGGTCAGTCACCATCTGGAACACTTCATCCAGCTCTGGGGTCCCCAACCTGGGAAGGACATTGACCTGTTGGAGTGAGTCCAGGGGAGAGACACCAGAATATCAAGGGGCTGAAGCACCTCTCATGAGGAATGTCTGAAAGACCTGGAGAAGCAAAGGCTCATTGCAGCCTTTCAATAATAAGAAGGGGCTTTYAAGAAAAACTGGGACATAGATTTTAGCAGGGCCAGTTGTGAAAGGACAAAAAGGGAATGTTTTAAAACTAAAATAAGGTTTCCTCTGATAAAGAAAATATTTTTACCATGTGTGTGGTGAAACACTGGAGCAAGTTGCCTAGAGAAGTGGTGGATGCCATCCCTGAAAACATTGCAGAGCAGGCTGGATGGGGCTGTGAGCAACTTGCTGTAGTAGAAGGTGTTCCTGCTCATTGCAGGGGCCTTGAACCAGGTGATCTTTAAGGGCGCCTTCCAACATAAACCATTCTATGATCCTATAGACTGCTCACCCAAATACAAGACAAAGATAAATGTGTCTTCCTGTGGGACTAAAGGCCTTGAGAATACTTGGACAATTTAAATGGAGTTGTCTTAAGAGAGATCAGAGCCATTGCCAGGCTGCAGGCTCAGAGGGATCCTATCCCGCAAGAGGGTGTTTGAAGGAGAGCCTTCCCCACATTCCAGGGGATGGGTGTGTAATATATTATCTTTCAATTAAAATTTCTTTTCTCTCCAGAGCTTTATTTCTAAGTAACAATTTTTTTTTCATTAAAGAATATTAAGCTTAAAGTAATTACAGAATATCATAGGTTCTAAGGAGAACAGAATCAAGTGCCATACAAAACTTTGTCTGCAAAAAGGRCCTATTATCACAGCCTGGTTTGAAAGTGATTGCAATTCTCATTGTCAATATCACATCATATGTAATAGGGCTGTAAATGATGCACAGATATGTTCAGTATTTGCAGAGAGTGAAATAAGGTAGAGGTAAATGTAGCCTGGTATGTGAGGAGAAGTCAGTCTTACAAAGTTATAGAACCAGACCTATCTGTAAAAAATAGAAATTAAATACTTATGGGATGCAAAACTCCTCCAGAAATATAGTAGTTAAATATTTAAATGCATGTAAAGGCCAAGGTTGGAGCAGGATTTGGAACAGAACAAATGTTTGTGCTTCAGAATATAAACAAACCTCTTGCTGGGGATAATGAAAATTTYCTCCAGTGTCTGAAACACCTAGTGCCAGATTTTTTTGTTTGTTTTTAAAATTCTTTTTTAGGAAGCCTCATATTCTGTTTGTTTTCTGATGCTTTACTAGATGGATAGCTTTACTAGACAAGATACCTTTTTTTGTTTGTTTTTGGTTTTCTCTATTTAGTGTTTCAGAATACAGGTAAGGATATATTTTCTTTGTGGCACTGTTTTAAAAACATGGTTTCAATTTTTTAAAGCATTTTGATGCCTAATAGCTTTTTCAAAATTCGGKTATTAGAATAGAACTTACAGGACCACAGGACTTAACTCAATCCTTATTCTGTAAATGCTGAAATAGTAGCTGGAAATACTGTRAGAGTGTTCCTGCCAACTTTGTTGCAGTCAGTGACAGTTCAAATTGTCTAATGTTTATAGCTTTTACAGTTTGAGTGAATRAATTGCCAAAAAAAGCTTGGGAGATCTGGAATTCCCTGGACTGCTCAAGGAGGTGCAGTTGCTTAATTTAATTTACAGTTTCATTTTAAAGCATGTGGCAAATGTAGAAAGGCCTCTGACTTGATTTAGCTTTGACTTTTTTGGCTTTGTGATCATTAGTAGTATAGCTRTGGAGATGATAAAATTTAGAGGATTCATTCTTGTGGGGGTATCATTTTGTAAATGCAGCTAAACACATTTATTCTGATTTTTATGGATAGGTTGATACTTTAAAGTAAGGGGGTTGAGTCAAACAAAAAGTACAGAGATGAGCTGTAATTCAGTGCCTTCTCCTTTTGTGAATGTCTTGTATCCTTTCTGCCATTTGACTTTCCATGCAAGTCAAAACACATCTCAAAATTGATTGAAGGTTGTGGATTGGTTGTGGGGTAGTATACCATACATTTTATGCAAAGCCAGTTCCACCACATGTATTCAGTCCTGTGCTTTGTGAGGGATATGAGTTAAGATTGTAAACAAAGATGAAGACAAAGAACCTGCTGTGTTCTAACACAATTTTATTTCATCAGASCATGCAAGGGTGAAACTTGTGTTTCATTCAAATGACACACATATATACAGAAAACCTGTTCTTTATCTTGGCATGTGTTTAGTCTTGTTTTGTTTGGCAGAATTAATATATTTTTAAGTAGCATTTCCCTGCCCTGACTTATACTAGAYGTGAAAGAAAGATTCATTTCTTCAAATTAGTGTTGAGTGTGGCTACTGGTGGCATTTTTGCCCCACCATCCCATTTTACAACACAGGTTACTGATTTTTAGAAAGTCTGTTTCGTACCGGGCTGTGAGAAGAACCAATAGTCTTTGCCTTGTCTTTGAGCRTTTGTTTGCAAAATCAAAGCAGTTGAAAAGTTATTCCTCCATTCYTTCTGTACTCTCCATTGAGTACTTCTCTTGAAGTCTAAGCAAAACATCACAAACCATTGCATTATTTCTTCTTAATCTGTTACTTCATTTCTCAACCTCTTTTACATATAGAATTTTGACTCCTATCTTAAAATTTCTCTCTGATGCTTAGTGAGAGCAGTGTGGTATTCATTTCCACTGCACACATTTCTGAGCTTGTTTTGATGTTYCTAGGTGTAACTGGGGCGTGGAGCCAAACTGTGCAATGCCTGCAAGGTCTGTGAACAGCTGTTCTGCGTTGGCAACGTGAACCAGGGCAAGCATTTTCACACTGAAGTCATGGTCATGTGCTCTGCATTTGTCTGTCATTTGCAGGATTCAGGCAGAATGCTGATGATGGAGGATGCAAAGATGTAATGCAATAAGGTGCCATGGAGCAAGAGAGAAGTAAATGGTGTCTGCTTTGTATTTGTGACCTGCCTCCTGGCAGCTTTGATGTGGTGGAYGAGGCTTGGTTTGAGTTCAGATGTCTGCCCTCTCAGTGATTGCTGTATTTGCTACCTGTACTTTAAATAGACTTAACTTTGTCTCTTCTAGGGAAAACRAAATGAAGGAACTAGTGTCAAACAGTACAACCAGTATATCTCAAGCCAGGAAAGCTGTGGAGCAATTAAAAATGGAAGCCTACATGGATAGAATGAAGGTAAACTTGATTTATTGTTGATAGTTTGAATTCACTGGCTAGTTTGTGGGACAGCATCCCTTTAATATTGCACATATCAAAAATCTGTGTTGAGCTWTAAAACAGTATTCAGTACTGAGTGAGTTCATATGCACATTTCACTCATAGTGAAACGATTTCCAAAGCCTGGCTTCAAATCTGCTTCTGTGTGAGTGTCTGTTACATTTTGGTATTTTGTGAAATATTTAAAATCAGCTCCTAGGTACCGGGGCGTTCTTCTATGTCAGCTGTAGCTGAGTTTAAGTGCAGGTCAGATTTCTTGGTTTTTCTCCTTTAAGAATTGGAATAAGTCTTTAAGGTATCGCAGTATTTTTGAATAATATTTAGTCAAGCTGAATTGTTTTGCTTTGTTGTGTTTTAATGTAGATATCATTGCACAAAAAATGTGCATGATTGYAGTGTGCAGTTATGACTCTTCACACTTGAAGACTTATTGTATGTAAAGGTTTGCTTTCATCCTGCCTCTAAATATATGTAGATTAAATATTCTTGCTAAAGGCACTATTAAACAGAGGTTCTCAGTTTGTTTTTTTTAAACAAGAAAAGGCTGTGGATTATTCTTGCATGTCATTCTGCTTTCCACTAGGCTAAAATTTTGTGAAATATCAAGCATCTAGAACCTAATAATGTCATAGAATTTTTTAAGTAAGCAATGCTAATTTTTTTTTTCTCTCTGCCTCTGAAAATAGGGAATAATCATAGTGATAAAAAGATCCAGTCTCTGCCAGTATGAATTTTTCAGTCTTTCCATCTCTAAAAAGTAATGCATTTAAATTACCCAGTTGTCTGCAAACAACTGTAACTGAGTTGCTACAAACTGAGATTATTAAGTGAGAAGGACAGTTTAGAAATGTTGTACATGAAAGTCTTTGTGTAGTCTTAAGTCAGTCTGTTTGTCCATCCATCCTGTSTGCTGAAATTCTGCATGTAGTCAGCACGGGGACAGTAGTATATATTTATGATTTGAAAATAGTCTCAGATGACAAACTCACCAATGGGAAAAGTAGTGTTTATAATTCAGAAAATTTAGTTCAATTCACAGGCATGGTCAGTCTTGCTTATATGAAAATAAAAATTTCAGTTTCTCCATTTTGTGGCAATTTTTAGCAATATGTCTTATAAGACCATTGAATTTGCAAAAGTGTAGTTTCTGTCTTGTATAGTGTGATACAAATTCATCACGTAACCRGTTCACAGGGAGCTAGGTGTTTATTTCTTGCAGGAAGGGAATGTCTGTCTTTTGAGTTTCAATGAGGTTAATCCCAACTCAGGTTGTATTGCAGCTGCATGAACAGAACTGACAAGGCAGTGTGTGGGTGGCAGAGGAAAGGGTTGGAAAAATATGCCCCAATTTACTGGAATTTGAAACTGTTGATACTTAGTAGATTGTCTAATACTTGCTTCTGTATATTCAGTGGTAAACGTCACACATCACATCATTAGCTCGGTTATGCAGATAGATTAATCAGTTACATGTATAATATTCTTAATTACATATGCAAGAAACACACAGGTGCAAGAAAGACATAGTTATTGTTCCAGTCAGTGTAATTAAAAGGAACAGAGTTATTAGCAAATGTGGCAGACGTAAAAAGCAGATAGCTTGAAAGTGCAATTATTTCACGTTTTAAAGCAGCTTGGGACCAAAAACACACCAAAGAAAATCTGACATTTTTCAGAACTAAGAGGGTTCAGAACYGAGAGGGTTCCTAACCTAAAGCAAATATAACTTTTCAAAATGTCTTTATTTCTAGAATTTCTTTGAACAGGCATATGAGGGATTGTGAGGAGCGGTTGTTTGCCTTTTTACTCGTTCAAAATCTGGTTGGCTTTTTAATCTTGAATCAGGGAAATGTGTGTTTCAGCATAGCCAAATTTTTACCAAGAGACTTCCCAGTGATTTCAATTGGAGATTTTAAGTTGCTGAGTCATCACTATAAAAGTAGATAAGTSAATGTCCTCCCTTTTTTTCTGGTGTTTTGCATCTGATTAAACTAGGTAGACATTTAGTAAAAGATCAGTGCTTTCCAAATAATTTCATTAAACACTGTTTTGCAAATAGCTATAGCCAGGTGGTTATTCCCTTAATAGGAAAGACCACATTGCTAGCATTGAAGAAGTGTCTGTTTTATTGACTAGGAAATCAGAAGTTCCAGGGTTTTTTTTTTCTACTGCAGAGGCACTTTGTTTTCCATGCACAGTAACTGCTGTAACCGGCAAGAGTTAGGTCTGCTCAATTAAAATCTTGTTGTTAAAAGTGTGTTGATATTTTCCCACTCCCACTGTGTTCTGGATTTTTCAACTAATTTAAGAAATCCTGTCAAGTCCTCTAACCAGTCAGAGCAGCAAAGCAGTGCTGTGTTCTGAGATTCCACAGTGACAACTCGCTGCTGAGGTGCAACAGAAGCAGAACAACTCAAAAGAGGAGGATGAAGTTATTGGTAAATTCATTGGTAGTTAGAAGGAGTATTACTGTGGAGTTTTTTGTAAACTGTAAGAATCCCAGAAGGATCATAATTGAACTTATCTCAGCTGCTGAAGGGACATCCRGAGTCATAAAGGAGAAGTAGAAAGCTGGAAATGCAGGTTCTGAGCTAGGAAACACAAAATGAAATTAGATGAACGGTGGCCTCATGACTAGTAGAATAACRTGTTATCTAAAGATGCTAACAGTAAAATTCAGAAAGCAAAGGTAGTATTGGTGTTTATCAGAACTGTCTTCAGAATAAAGCACTATTTAATCATCTCTTTGCAAGCAGAGAAGCAAGGGTGCTCTGACATTTAAGACCCTTGGAATATCAGATATTATTCCATTTCCCTTTTCCTTAGGAAGATAGGAAGTATTCCTAACTTATCCTGAACAGTGTTGGGAGATAAACAGTAGGAATGCTAATAAATGTTTGTGAATCTCTTTGTTTTAGATGTGAAGGATAAGCAGAGTGGGTGTAGTAGCAAGGATGATAATTAGTCACAATTCATGACAAGACAGAAGACATAGTAATTGCAGCATTTTGCCCTGTCATTGAAGCTTGTAATTATTAGTGCAGCTAACAGGATGTTCTAACGTCAGCAGTTTTATCACCTCTGCTATTCTGAAACATAATGTTAAAATTTCACACTCCTCCTGAGTCTAATTCTTTAAAGCATCAGGGTTGAGTGTTTTGTTGGATTTTTTCTTTAGTTAATTTGATAACAAGATGTATTTTTCATTACAGAGAGTAAAAGTAATTCTGCAAAATGTGAGATCAATGTGATACCTAGATACTCCATCCCTTCTACCCATACACCTTAATTTTTTTTTAAAACAGAAATATTAACTTTCAGATAAAATTCATCAATCAAACTGCAGTCTGATCTTTTWCTTTAGCCACTTCTGCAATAGGTATAAATTACTTTGAATCTCCAGACCCAGCCGTATTGCATAGGAGAACTGACATGATAAATGTGTTAGCTTCATTTTAATATTCAAATGATTTGCATTTATTTTAATTCTTAGGAAAAGCTATTTTGAAGCTGTCCAGCAACGTGTGGCTGCACATAACCCCAAAGGCAGTGAGAGCTACGATAGCGTGGGCTCCATTTAACGCCTTCCATGACACGATGGGATGATCAACACACCCCTTYGTGCAGCCCAGACTGCAGCCCTGGCCATGGGACACCTCTTGAGTGCTGACTGTGACAAAGTAGCCCGTCTCTGCTCAGTGCACAGGCCTTCCACCACTGCTGTTCCCAACAATGATACTGAGCAGCATACTTGCTGGAGGCAAAGTGGTGTTTTGCTCTTTTTTGGGTCACAGTTCTGACTTTGCCAACATTGCTCACAGCCTCAGGAAACCCATGTTTTCATTGCTGCCGGWCTGTGATCAGCTCATTTAACTCTGCTTGTGGATGACCATTATTCCACAGTGCAAGCTGAAGCCACTCCCAATTCCAGTGAAGAAATGGCCATTATTCACTTTTATGACTACTGTAATCCCAGGGGAGGATTTCTCTTCCCCAAACCTTTTATCTGTTTAAAGGATGAACATATATGACCTAATATATTTTGTGATGATGTGCATGTCCCRCAGTTCCTTGTTGCAGGTTTTTTGATTCTTCTACTAGATTGTACTATGGCTGTTTAAAAGCAAACTAAATTGTGATTTAAATGCTCTAACATTGAAGAAGGGGTTTCTCTTCAATAGAAAGGGTGATTGGGCATTGGAATGGGGTGCCCAKGGAGGTGGTGGAGTCAAACATCCCTGGAGTTTGGAAAAGACTGGATGTGGCACCAAGTGCCACRGTCTAGTTGACAAGGAGGCGTTAGGTCAAAGGCTGGACTCGATAATCTCGAAGGTCTTTTCCATTCTAGGGATTCTGTGACTTTGTGAATGTATTGTTCTGCTTCACAACATTCCTACCAGCATTACAAGATGAGTTAGATACAGAAATGTATGTTGAGCTTTTGCTACTGAAATCCCTTTTTATTGTTAAATGATACTAAAGCACAGCAATACGTAGAGAAACAGGAAATTATAGTTTTGGATTTATCCTTCTAAGAATGAGGATTGAAATTGTACTTCTCTTCCAATGAATGAAAGGCAGTATACTAGGGCTGATGTTGCTTATCCATGCATGGAACAAACAAGAYCATTATGGGAAAATCATTACAACCCTTTGTACTTTGAAGTCTATAACATTCCACACATTTTTGTTTTAACTGCTTCTTTCTTGAGAAGCACTGGTCCTTCCTAACATCTCTTCTATTTGTTCATTCTTCTGTTTTGCCTGTGCTCAGCAGCCTGTTGTTCACATGTAGTCTCTCTGCCACTCTTTTGTCTTACAGGCAAATTCAAAGACAAACGAATTCTAAATAACCTTAACACCCTTTTTTCCTCCATCAGGGGGGTAATCTATACTGAGGTGTCAACCACAGGTACTTCATAGGTTTAAGCATTCTACAGAGGCATACAGAAATTAAAAACAGAGAAAGAAATAAAGAGTCTGTGACTGTCTTCAAGAGTTCATTTGAATTTCATGTGAATTCTGATTCAGTACCCCTTGACTTCAACATAGGTTTGATCTGAATCCTACTTCGGGCTGGGCTCATGTCAAAGCAAGCAGGGTGTGGGGAAGCTTTAAGCTAACATTGATGACACACCTGCTAGAAAAATACCAGAAATGCGAGTTGGTTTTTCTTTTCACTCTGGTTGTGCAAGCATGCTGACCTCAGYGTTAGGCTGGGGACAAGCTGTCATGGTGCTCAGAAAAAAGACTTCTTTGAACAGACTCCCTAATTAATTTTCTCAACTATCAGAATATTGAAAACTCAGTAATTCACCAAAGCAAAGAGACAGAGATAGCCATGAATAGCTTGTTGACTGAGCAAAATAAAAAATTTGTATATACTTTTTAAATTCTTGAAAAAATAAATTAGTCCCCATGGCCTAGTGTTGCCAGAATTCGTGTAGCAGAATATTGCAAATGTTACGAGGTTTAAAATTTCATTTTTCATTTAATGCAAAATAGCTTGCATTGCAAATATTCAACACTGCTACATTTTTGTATGACTTTTCAATAAGCATAAACCAATGTTCTGAATTCAGAGACTTGAGAATTGTTTATTTTAGAGGTATAAAAATATTAAGTTAAAAAATATTGATGTAGTGCTCAAGTATAAAGGAATGCTGTGAATAAAGGACTACTCATACTAACTTGCTGAGTGGAAGACATTAATCTTGCTTCATTGAAAAGAGCAGTATTTAGCTTAAATGAGAGCTAGGACACATGGTGTTCATGTTTTATTCCTGGTTTGTTATTTCTGTTTAATCCCATGATCATGTGCCTAAAGAGCTTTTTGTTTTCCATCCAGAGGAGCAAAGGTAGAGACAGTGTTTGTGGAAAGCCTTAAAACCAATGAAGCAGGTTCCTCTACAGGAGTAGCCACAGGAGAATCTGCATTGCTTATGGATGGTTTGTGTATAAATATTTTAATGACTCCTTCCGAAGGGGAGGAAAAGCTTGACATGGATCATATCAGTTGATAGATTTCATGTCACTATGTTAGATAATATGTATGTAAAGATTTCTAGGCCTAATGAAAGCAAWTTGAGAGTTGTGCCTAATAAATTAAAGGATAAAGAAATCTACTCCCTATTTTACGAAAGCTTCCATTATCATTTGTTCTATGAAAAATATTTCTGCAATTCAAGTTGATTCAGAGTTAAGTAGTTCTCTCTTTTCTTCTATTAGGTATCCAAGGCTGCAGCAGATTTATTGGCATATTGTGATGCACACATTGGAGAAGATCCCCTTATTATTCCTGTACCTGCATCTGAAAATCCCTTTAGGGAGAAGAAACTCTTTTGTACTATCCTTTGAATCAGTTTTTAATTAAAAAAGTAATCTGCTAAAATTTGGTATCAGTGTTGCATGCTTACAGTATTTTTTTCTTCAGATGTCAATACTTACCTATAGCTACARTATTTTTGGAAGGCAGTGCAATATCTGCTAAAAAAACCAAAACCTAAAATTTAAAAAGAAACCTAAAAAATTTGAGGTAATTTTTATCTTTCAGAGGAATGTACAAGTTTACTTYCAGTTCTTCATAAATATTCCTTTGGTCTTAATGAAAGTATTGAGTACAGTATCAAATTGTAGATATCTTTGCCAGTCATAGATTTTTCTGAGACYCAAATGAGTCATTCCAATTCTTGAAGCTATTTTTAACATTCTTATTTTCTTTGGAAGGTGAATTTAATTCATTTGCCTTTACAAATTTCTGTCTAAGGAGAGTAGTATGACCTTTTCCACAAGTAGCACTATTTAGGAAAAAGTTCCAGTGGTTTGCAATGCTTGGAATGATGATTCTTATACAGTAAGTGATGTTTATAAATATGTTTTCTGAAGTCTGTAAGAAACTTGACTACAAAAACAATCTTARTAAAGTGCCATTGTAGCTACAAGCAGAATGAAGATGTATAGTCACACACAGGATTGCATCAATAAAGCTGTAGAAAAATGTGGTTGCTTGTATATCTTCTTTTGAATTATAATGATTTAAATTATTTAGAAAGTAAACCGAACTGTGAAATAACTGTTCCTGAGGGTCTTAGTGGAAGGTRTAAAACTGYCCTGAACAGCACAGGAAGAGGGTTTACATTTTCTGAGCAGCCCTCTACATGCCTTTGCCCATGAGAATGGGACTTTCTGGGGATAGAGAGTAATTGTAAGTAAATGTAATAGGATATGCAGCGAGACCACTGTGCTGTTGACATCCACTGTGTTTCTTTATTTTGTAGCCAAAGATTAGTTAAATTGTCAGCAAGTAATTTGTGGAGGTTCTGGGAGAGTTTTTTTGTTTGACTTCRTTTAAAGTACAGTGAGAGGAAAATAATGAGGTGTGGAATATGACTGCCTTCTTCAATAAAATGAGGGTCATATGGGGAACCTGGTGGAAGCAACTGTTTAAAGATTATTTTTTTATTCTTCTCCTTAAAAAAAATTAATGAAAGCTCCTCTTCCATCTGATGCATTAGGACAGTTCCCTCATTGCAGCACCTTGTATGTACAATGTATCGGTTTGCCCCATAAGGCGGGAAACAATTTTGTTGGAGAATGGCACCAGTCTGAGCTGAGACTCTGAACAGCCACCCATAACAGATCATGCTTCTTCCCTTCTTCTGCACAAACTTGTATTCCATAAACATGTCATAATACCTGCAAGGAAAAGAACTAGCTGAGGAGATGAGTGCCTTGGGACATACTTAAATCCTGAGTTTAGATGCTAAAAGGGGCAGCTTGGTGAACAAAGCTTTGTGAATTTTCCCCAGAGTGCATGTACCTTCTCCAGCTTATTTTTAGCAATTCCATCGATGTATGTTGTACTGTTTTGTGCAGTGGAAATACAAGATGCGTGCATTGTACAGATTTTTTTTTCTTTGCCAATCAACTTAGATAAATGTGCCTCACCCGGCTGCGTTCAGCTACCAGTCCAGTCACATGGGACTGGGGGCTTTGGACGTTGCTTCTGCTGCTGGCAGAACTGACCTCACGTCTCACATGGARCCTCCTTGCAACATTATTGTAAAAAAACCCTACATAACAATATTCCTTTTAACCARTAGGCTTTTGGGATGTTTTTCATCCAAAGATATGTTTTTCTACCAGGGCAGATGAAGACATCAATAGTTTAGTGGGCACAGASCTGCTTCACATACCTATGCTGAAAAACATTCAAGTGTCTTGAACAGATCTTATTTTTGGTAGACTCRTCCTTGGTTCCCATTTCAAAGTTTTCAGCTTAAGAATCCCATTCCTAACTTTTAACAATAATATTTTTAATGCATGGTGTGTTTCTGTTTTGGGGGTAGAGAAATGGAGTTAGCTGAGTAGCTATTTTATTGACAGCAAAATAAAAATATTTCTGAAAATATTTATTAAAAAAGAGCAACAAAACACTTAATAAGGTTCTTTAGGGAATCCTTCCTACAGTATACATGATTTGGTAACTGCTCTGATCACCATGGCAACATTTTCATTTGTCCTTCTGCATGTATGGTTTTAACTGGAACAACATGGGAGGAGAATATAGGGCATACAGCTTTATTCTCAAAGGCTTTGTAACAACTTGCATTTGTGGCTTATCATGAACATTCCCATCTAAAATAACAAAATTGCCACTTATTAGAGTATTGCAAACAGCTTGCTTTCTGTTTCCAATTCGGGTTAGTGTCTGACATCCTGAGATTGAAACATTTCACAGTGCTTTTGAGCATCACTCATTACAAGAGCTGCATTTACAAAAAAAATCCAGTATTATTATTCACAAGAGGACAATGTAATTCTTTTGATCTTCAGGTTTTTCTCCAAAATTTTTCTTCAAGGAGTTATGAATGTGTCGGAGTTATGTTTTAAATAGCTGGTTCCCATGTTTGTGGTTTCTTTCATCAATTCATAACTTTCATTAGGTTAAAAAAAATGTTTCTATCAAGATGATTTCATGCTTCTAATTTAAAAAAAAATAAATACATGGAATACCATAACATGCATATTTATGTTAGCAGATGTCTATAATGTATTTGAAGAGATTAAATCGTAGAAGCATAATTCCTTACTGGAAAATGGAACAGCTTTCTCCAGGATCTTTGGGCTTTGTTTGCCAGTTCCTTGAATGAAGATTTACTATTGGCACATTACTAATTTGAAGGGGAAGAGGGCAAGGTGCACTTAAAAGATTAGCAGTTCAAATAAAATTGTAACAGCTTTTGATTGCATACAATATATTACTTAAGAACACCATCAAAAAACTGACTCTCTGAAAGAGAATGGTATCATCTCATTTAGCTTTTTTTTTTAAAAAAATATCATCTTGATCCACAAATGAACATTTTAAAAAATATGTTTTCCTCCCATCCCTACAAACCATAAAATGTCTTTGTCATTAGTATATTTTGTGCTGCTTTGGCCTTTGAGGTGCTTTGGATAATCTGCTATTGATACTTGAGTTTCATGCTTAAGCATCTTGCCTCAGCTTTACACAAAAATATCTGAATGGTTTGTACATTTTTCAAAATAATAAATACAATAAATATAATGAAGTATAGAATGATATAAAAAATTAAAAATCTCTCCAAAATGTGGATGTATCTCACAGAAAAGTTTCCTGTGCGCTGAAGCAATGAGTTTATATTTTCATCAAATGGTTCCTGCTAAATTAAATGAAAAAAAATGCCATCCTAACATTGTACTCCTCTCTCTCTCTCTTTCTGTTTCATTGCATATGCTATTAGGCTTGTTTAGTTCTGTTTCAGGCCCAGAAAGTAATGGGTGCTCTCAACTGTGTGAGTTGRGGCTGTGATCTCATGGAGTGAGAACTTCAGAACAGAATAGGATTCAAGGAGTTTTTGACATGKTATTGGTAATCCTCTCTTCATATCTCAACTCTTGCTGCTCTCATGGAATGAGAGTTTCCAGTGGTGGAATGATGGTAAATTGTAACATCTCAGTAGCTCATGTGGGGCTGGCTGTTTTGCCTTCCTCAGATTAATCTCCTTGGTTTATTTTGAATTTAAGATGCTACTATTTCAATACTAAAAACTATTTTCCTCATCTCTATTATATGCTAAAATTGCCCTTTTTTGCTTCCTATACCATGTATTAAATTAGTAGCAGGGTGCTTGGCTGGTGCTGATAGGCAAATTTTTTAAGCTAACCTCTAWGAAATTATGGTCAAAGGAGGAGAAAAACGTGGAGGGAAGTTTAAGTTAAGCTATTCTACATCACACCATAAGTTAAAATAAATACAAGCTTTGCTGTCAGTGACACTGAGGTAAACAATGATTTATAAGGACATTGTAACCAAGCATTTTTGCAATGACTTAGGATCAGCCCCAGCAGAAGGAAAGAACACTTTGGGAACAACAGCCTGTAAAGTTACATATTAAAAGCTAAACTTCAGTATGGCAGGAGTTTACCTAGTTGGATTTCTGATATCAAAAGAGTAACAAAATATGTACTTTGGGAGGTCTTGATCATCCACTTTTTCCTGTCTCTATTATATAGGGATGAAAATCTGTATGCATAATTCTCCTAGAAAATGCCATAATTATGGCTGTCCTTTGGGTCTGCATCAGAATATGGATTTGTTTCAAGGAAACTAAAGAAAACTTGGGGGAGGAGTGGTTCCTAAAAAATACAGGCTTCTTTTACTGAGAACTAGTACTTAAGAGTCATTAGACTGACTTAAATAGTAATGTGTGAAAAATAGTGTGCAAACTTATCAGAATAAGTGTTACATAAAATTTTACAGGCACCTGCATATTTATTCTTTTGGTAAAAATTATACATTTGCATCTAATTGAATTCAGCTGTATAGCACTATTAAATTAAGTACAGCCATAAATACCAGAAGTAGTAGGGGAACAACTTTTCTGTCTGTTAGCGGAAGATGTACATCTGAGTTTGTCAAGTACATTTACACCACTCACGCTTGTGAACAAACAAAATGAGCAGCTTTACCCTAAAATTGGGTCTTTTCTTTCCCAAATTCCTATTCCAAATAGAAACTGCACAGGCTCGTCTATTACTGCCACCTACTGATAAAGTGATAAACAGCCAACTGAGACAAAAAAAATACCAACATCAACTAGTAATAAGCAAAAGGAGGATTTTAAATTTTTGTGGGCTGCATTGTATAAGGTTTCRCCTGGCGCTGTGGCACTGCCTGGGTGCAGTTCAACCTCATGCTTCAGTTCCAGACTGCTCAGTTTAAGAAGACCCAAAAGACAAGTACATTATTTGCTTAAATAGGTCAAGTGTCTAGCTAAAAACCCCTTCAAAAGTTGTGGAAGTCGTTGAGTRTATTGGTTGGAGTTCATTTTCCAGGTTAACTCAGATGCCTGTTCCTCAGTGCTGCTGAGACACCAGTTGTGCCCCTTGCTCCCTGGAGCAGGTGAGGTGGCTGCTAACAGCAGTAAAGCTCAGCTCTAGGCCAGAGTCAGCCCCCAGCTCAAACAGCAACCAACAGCTCTCACTGACTTCTCTATTCGTTCACACTCAAACTTCACACCAGCCTCTTGGGTTTTTTATTTCAGGGTGAGGGGTGTTCTCCAGTTACTGGAGTCTGGSCCAAATACTTCCTTGTATGCCACAGCATAACAGTACAGCCAGAACAGAGCTTAGGCCACTGCTTATGCTTTGAATGGCATTTTATGGAAAATACACTAGGCRTGGCATAAGGATATGTTTCAAAAGACCACCCATTCCACATAATGTATTTATTGCATAACCTCTCATTGCACCATACCCTCTTGTGTGTTGGAGCTTTAGGGGCCATCCTTGGGCCCTTCATTCTCTCTATGGCATTACTCCAAAGAGATGCACAAATTTCCAGCGAAAGGAAGGAATAAGYGAAACTTTATAGAAAAGAATCGTGACTTTTTAAAAACCTTTCAAGTAGCAGTGACTTTAAAGATATTTACAGTGTGACAACCTGTCTCTGGCAAGTGTGGCGCACGTGACTTCATCCTAAACTTTCTTG